TATATTTTCTATTTTTAGAAAAGGCACTCGCTTTCGATAAGCGGACAAAGCCCATGAGTGCAATAATGCCTTATAATTGCAGAGTACAATACTTTTTCAGAGCAACAGAATTTAGCTTACTTCGGGATGATTCATCTTACACTCAAACCCACGTCAACAAAGTTTTCCTGACGCAGACATTGATATGTCTGTATCTGAATATGTATCTAAATTGAGTCATGCTTCTACAGACGGCTCATAAGAAAAACTATTTGCGTACTTTCGATTCATGGTTACAGTTTACCAAGCACGTGTACCAAAAATTTCACCATAATACGCATTTATGTATAAAAAAATTTTGATAAGCCATGGGGACTTATCGTGTTTTTGCACATATTTATAAATATGTATATATTATTGATAAAACAAGGTTTTGTTTTTATTATGAAAGTCTTAAAGCTATGCTCAAAGCTACAAACCAGTAATATTGAAAAAGTTTAGTTATTTGCTTACCACCTAGAAACTATGAACTGAGTTTTTTTTTAAAGATATTTCATAGTTTTGGTAATGTTTTTGTATTTCAACAATTGAATTTACCGGTAAAAATAATACGCATAGATTTTTTTGACGTCAAAACTCCAATGCAATTGAGCGAGATGGAGGAATTATTAAACTTACATGCGATTCGCGGAAGAAATTAAAGGGCTTATTAGAAAAAATGCCATATATATTGCTATATATATCTGTAATAAATGGAAAATGTATGGTAATATAAAAATTTTGGAATTCTGACGTGGGAAATGGGGTTTTGGTTTCCATTTGCATCGAAGTACCCAAGTACATATACATTCCTCATTATGATATGGGGGTTCTTATTATCGTCGGCAATATCATAATGTTTCTGAGGGTAATTATTTCCTGGCAAGGTCGCAGATCAACAGATGGGTATTACCCATACAGGTGCAGCACACGAACACGTGTCAGTGCCGGTGTGTGCGAGTGTGTGTGTGTGTGCCTCGGAGGTGCATCAGATATCCACATATCTTTCTATCTTTCCATCTTTCTATCTGAAGATACCGATACCAAACGAGTGTGTTTCTATTGCCGTAACCCCCGCCGCCAGTCGTATGATATATGTATTATTGCTATACAGATGGATACACACATATGTAGGCACTCGAATATGTATGTCTGGGAGATTTTTTTGGAAAACAGATTCATCTTAAAGTTAAGATTTCATACACTTATTGTCCACTTCTCAACACTTAGAACATCAGTAATAACAAACAACTGAGAGTAGCGAAAAATATATATATCTTAATTATAATACTTTTAATTACTTTAAGTATCTGAAAACGCGACGACGGCACTTAGCGAGTATTTTGTAATGCCGAAGCGATTTTATCAACTGACCTACGCCAGGGCGGGACAACTACCTGTTGTTGCCTTGATAAGTCGATTGTGGTTTCCCTCAATTGTAGTCGATACCTTGTCTTGCAAGCAGTGTATCGATAGGTATCGAGTACTCACAGTTTCGTTTGGCTATTTTATAGATATTACTGGAAAAAATTTTTGAATTCTTAAAATATTTTTATAAGAATTATAAAAAAGTACTCCGATATCATAAATATGTTATTTTGTTTTTGCGAAATTCTATATAACGAAAAAGGTTTTCATTTCGTTTTAAATTATAATATAGGAAAATTTTTTTAATTGGGATTTTCCTTAATAATTTCCTTTCTTTTAATAATTCCTTTTAATACATATATTATTTTTGTAACAAGCTTATAATATAAAAATTAAATCTTTACATAACCCACATTTTGTGATTGCTTTTATCTAATAGATACATATTTCAAAACTATCATCAGGTTACTGTTATAAAACCTTTTTCTATATACAGAAAAGGTTGCAATTAGTTCTCATACATTTTGTTTTTATTTAACAACTTCCTTTCTTATAAATAGTTTACAATTTTGATATAATAGACAATAAATAAAAATAGTTACTCTCTTGATACGAGAAATTTCAATCTGTAAAAATCTGATATTATCAATTTAAGGTGTAGAGTATCTCATGGTATCCATATTTAAAAAGAAAGTGGTTCCCGCCCTGTATTCCGCATTTTTGAGATCCGAATAGGACGGTCTCACAGGCGACCAGCTGTGTTTTTCAAAATGAAAAGGATATTTCCATTTGGCCTTCGTTGGGTGGTTGACTATGGGGTGAAATCAATAGAAACGTAGTTATTCGAGATGTACATTAGGATTAGTGTGAATAGTTTTATATCCGTGGTGATTGTACTCCTGGTGGCTGTCTATTGGTACCGACTACCGGCGAGAAATGGTGAGTGGGATTGGATATGAGATAGATAGTATCTCCTTAAATAAATATATCTGAAAACCCTGTATAGATGTTCCAAAAAAGACCCCTAGAAGACCGCCTAATCCGGAGGATCCACTGCCGCCCTCCAATTCGCCGCTTCATCGATTCTCCCGGGCGGCCATTTGTTCCGACAGCGATGTGTGCAGCGATTTGGGCCGGAAGGTCCTGGAAAAAGGAGGCAGTGCGGTGGATGCGGCCCTGGCTGCCCTCATTTGCAACGGACTCATTGGGATGCAGAGCATGGGAATCGGTGGCGGCATGGTGATGAACATCTATTCGGCCAAGGAGCGCAAATCCTACAGCATTCTGGCCAGGGAAATCGCTCCATTGGCCCTGCGTGCGGAGAACTTCTCGTCCTTTCGCGATGAGCAGGAGTTCAAGAGATCTGGCTGGTCCATCGCTGTGCCCGCGGAATTGGCCGGCTATGCGGTGGCCCACCAGAGATTCGGTCGGCTAAAATGGGTGGAGCTGGTGCTGCCCACTTTGGAGCTGTGCCGGCGTGGTTATCCACTGTATAAACACCAGTATGATGCCCTCATCCTCAACCAGGACATGATTCGGGCTGATCCTGGCCTGCGGCGTATGTTCATTGATCCCGGAACGGGGCATTTTTGGCCCCTGGGTCATCTCATCCGACCGTCGGATCAATTGTGCACCACCTACGAACGGTTGGCCAGGGAGGGACCCCTCAGCTTCTACAGAGGATCCATCGCCGATGATTTGCTGGCCGATCTAAAGGACATTGGCAGTCTCATATCCAGGGAGGATCTGAATCGAGCCCATGCCAAGTTGAGCAAGGCTTTGGTGCTGCCTCTGGATGAGCATGATCTCCATTTGACCCCTCCACCTGGAAGTGGCAATGTCCTGGGATTCATAATGAACATACTGAGGGAGTTCCGAGCGGATTTCTCCAGAATCGAAACCATGGGCGCCCGGGAGATTCACCTGATGGTGGAGGCCATGAAGTTTGGCTTTGTTAAGCGTTGGCAACTGGATGAATCAGCCAACGAGGAGGTGGGTACTACTATTTCCTATCTCTTTCCAATTCATGCACTTCTTATTCAGTCTAACTTTCTGCCACCAAAAAAATTTCAGTTATGGAGATTTCAAGCTCAACTATTAAACTAATACTACTTTTAAGACTTCAAATTAGGGAAGTTCGATTTATGGAAGTTTATATGTATTTTTAGAAACCCAACAAATGTCTAGATCTTTAATGTGGAATTCCTTAATAAGAAATACTTAAGTACAAATTATTTTTAAGACTTATAATGAAACTACCCATTTTGGAAAGTATCAAAAAATTTTAAGTTAAGTATCTATGTAATTAATTTTTTAAATTATAGAGCTGTCAGAATCATTCCTCTTTGTATACTTACCTCTTTCTTCGCCTTCTGAATCATAACTCTTTATATACCACCAAACTCTTTCTTCGTTTTCTCCCACAGCTTTTGGCGAATTTGACTAGCCACGAATTGGCGCAATCCATAGCCAAGAAAATCAATGACTCACAGACCTTCAACAGTTCTGAGTTTTATGGAGCTTCATCTGAGATACAAATACGGGATGAGCACGGCACTGCCCACACCTCAGTTCTGCATGGAAACGATGCCGTTTCGGTGACCAGTTCTATTAATTTCTAGTAAGAACATACTTTCTTCTAAATCGAATATATATAAACTAATATATTTCTCCTAAAGTTTCGGTAGTGGACGGACGGGAAAGCGAACCGGAGTGATCTTTAATAACGCCATGTCCGACTTCTCCATGGAACAGATTAAGAACTACTTTGATCTTCCATTTGTTCGCGATATCAATGGCATAGCTCCCGCCGCCCGTCCCATGTCCTCGATGAGTCCGGTGATTGTAACGGAACGCTCCTCCGGGAAAGTTCGTTTGGTTGTGGGTGCCGCCGGCGGTACTAAAATAATATCCTCCCTGGCTCCACTGCTCGTTCGGATCCTTTGGCAGAGGGCGAGCATCAAGTCCGCCATCGATGCCAGTCGCATTCATCACCAGATGTTACCCAATCTTTTATCTTACGAATATGGACTACTCCAGAGCCAGGTGAGAAGCTTGGAGGACAAGGGACATCGGTGCGAGCGATATGAAAACCGGGGATCCGTCATCTGCGGAATCGACCAACAGAATGGCACCATCTGGGTGAACTCCGATTTCCGGAAGCCAGGTGGAGTTAGTGGTTTCTAAAAGGCTGATTAAGTGGTATATCCCTATCTTCCGCTTCTGTAAATCTCAAAGTACTATAAAAATCACAATTTTGAAGGAATAATATCAGTATTATATAAAGTATTCCATATTTGTAAGAGATCTAAAAGTTTCCTGCTCAAAGATATATGAAGTTAGAGTTCTATTCAAATTAAAGCATTCAATTCAATCAATACAATGTTCCCTATACCAATTTAGGTATAGCAAATTCTGTAAAAGTGGTTCAGAAACGATCAAAAATATCTTTAAGTAATAACCTTACAATTAAAATACTAAAATAATATCAAATATGCACATCGAGACGGTATTAATATTAATAAATAATTTATTTTTTTAATTTGTATCAGTTACTAAAATAATTTAAGTAAAATATTTGTATAATTTAAGTAATAGCCTAGGTGTAAACTTCCTTATACAGACGTGTAAAAGTGTTCCCTGTTGCGGTGGCAACAAATAAATAGCGTTATGTATAAGAATGTTGCAACAATGCCCAGAGTGTTGAGCGCCATCGAGAAGGCCAGCAGATACTTCCATTCGACCCCAAGTTTTCCACATCCTTCGGTTCTGAAAGGAGTGGTCTATATAATATTTTTATATAATTTTATAGTTTGGGAAACTTACTGCGGTGACTCCTGGACAGCAGTGAATGCAGAGGGGTCCCCGGAGGAGAAGGATGTGGATGAGGTCACTTTTTCGCCGGCAGTAAAGCAAGTGCAATTGTGATAGCTCAAAAGGGAGCTGGATGTGGGTCCACATTCTCCATCCGCAGATGAGATGAGCTCTGCAAACTCTATCGCCGCACAGACTAGGGCCAGACAGCAGAAGATCAACGCCAGACCGGTGAAAACGTAGGACTCGGCCAACAAGACCTTATAGCAACTGTTCGGCGGCCTGTGATCCGTGATCTTGTGGTTCCTTCGCATCAGTATCAGACCCGCAACACTGGCCAACAGCAACTGAAAGGGTAAATATATTATATAAATATATAATATAATCATATATTTAGTTCCCCCACACAAAATATATATAACATATATACTTAGTTTTGGAAATATTACAAATCTATCTATCTATCTGTCTATATATCTTTATAATGATATATATGGAAATCTAATAATCACAGCCGAATCTAGTTAAATAATACTATTAAAATTAGTTATTATCTTATTTTTAATAGTTAGTTTTAGTTTTAAAGTATATCAACTTACCGACAGACCACTCAGATAAGGATTGATCAGTATGGATGCATTCGGCGCCAAAATAAGAATCCAAGCGGCTAGACCAACAATCAGCAGGCCAACAGCTAATTGCATAATTAGAAGTTGTCGCGAAATATTTAGATTCCTCGTCTCTTGGAAACCTGAGCAATAAAATTAATAAATATTAATAGTTGATAATAGTTGTATGAGTATAATTAGTTTATATACCAAAAAATACTAAAAGTATTATTAGTTTCTGTGGGGGTTTTAATATCAACTAGTTATCACTATAAATATTAAATTCATTAATTCATTATTAATAATTATTTTTTTTGTTTATAAAAGATTAATATTATTTTTCTAATGGTTCCCTTGGCTTTTTCAGTTATAGAGATCATATTTTAGAACTCTATTAGTCTTAAAGATCTGCTGTAATCGAGTTATAGGAAATACTCTTCCTGGTTATTGTTTTTTCAAAACAAAGATGACAGTGCTGACACCCACGTATCATTTATACACATATCTCTTTGTTTTGGGACTAAGAGAACTTACTGTCATGGTTTTTGTGATTGACAACGATCATCCGGCTGTGCCTCAGACTGTTTCGGGTTGGCGTATGTCGGCCGGCGATCTTCATGCCTTTCATGTTTTGCGGAACTGTGGTGCTCATGTAGACGGCCTTTTTTGGGGAAAAGAGTAGATTTTGGATTTTCGATATTGGATATACATACATAGATTATAAAGATCACTCACCTGCGACGCCTGCGGAGCTTCCAAATCGCTCAGAGGAATCTGTTCGTAGGTGGTGGCATATCGCAGTGCCCTATTCTGCAGATCGGCGGATGGAGACGAAGCCGATGATTGATGATGGTTTGGGGGATCTGGAGCAGACACTGCTGGAATTTCATCCCGCTGCGGAACATTCTGGTACTTTGGTTCCGACTTGACGACAACAACCGGCGCTTGAGCAGCGCTTTTGCTGGCCGCAGGTGGTGGTGACTCATAGTTGTTGATCCCAAAAAATTTCGACTTGGCATCGTTTAGAGCCGCTTTCACAGCGGCTATGCTATGGCTAGTGCCGCTGCCATTGAGTTCCAACTCCACTTCCGGTTCCGGCTCCAATTCCGGCTGGTACATTCCGCCGGACTCGGGGTGTGGGTGCCTCGACTGGGAGTTGGTGGTGCCCAAGTTGTCGTAGGTGCTTACGGGACGGTCTGATTGCATTGGCATGACTGGCCGATCGCCTGGCTAGATCTAGATGGACATTCCGGAACTGGGGTATTACGAGTACCAGTACCAGGCGAGAGCACCGCACCAGGTGCTACGGGCATAGTCCCATCGGCTGCATTCGCTGGAAACAAGTAAGTTTAAAAGTATTATAAGTTTATAGTAAGATCTATATTCGATAAAAAGTAAGTAAGTCTTATGTTTCTCAGAGTACTATTAGATCTTATTGTTTTTGATAAAAACTCTCACGCCCCTAGGTATGCAACTGTAATTTAATATAATAGCATATAATCACTATATCATTATTTCTAATGTATTATATTATCCCATAGGTTTACATTTTGTCTATGATCTTATCATATATCTTTAGATACTCAATACAACTTCAGTTCAGCCTGTTTATAACATTCTTTTTAAAAAGAGAACTAAGAACCGAACCAAAACTATTTGTAGCTAAAGGGCAAAGGGCTATTAAAGACCGTTTCGGAAATCAATACTTGAGATTAGTAAGATTTTCCGGTTTGTTTGGATTTTATTCCGGTTTTAAAATAGGTCGTTGGCATCCATTGATGCCCCAGGTTGGTGAGAGAGAGAGAAAATAGTTATTCACAAATTCCAGAGAACGGCCAACTAACTCCGCCTTTAACTTTGGATGTTGTTATTGTTGGGTCTGTCAGGTCGTTGGAATTTTTTAAATTGTGGGTTCTGTTACGGGCCGATGAACAGGCCGTAAATGCTGATAGTTCGTATTGTCGTTGTACAATCAAAATCTCTGATTGCCAAACACTTCTTTTGATCTATTTAGAGAAACGGCCTCGTGGGCAAAAAAAAACACGCAAATAAACAGGCAGATTTTTTTGTGATTTACAACTTTATAAAGAGCAAAACTCGTACCAACCCGATGCAATGGTCACAGAAAAAGATACAAAAAACGAAAGTTTCGACTTCGCTCCGGAGGCGGGGAAAGCCGAGTTGAAAAGAACCGAGAGCAACAATACCGAAATCAAAACAAAATCGAACCGAAACGAAACGGAACTAAAAAAAAATAATAAAAACAAAAAAAGGTAAACGTTTTGGAGATTGGGCGGCACTACAACTGTACGCACCAAGAGGCGAAAACAAACTAAAAATAATTCTCACCACCGCGATCGAGCGCTTTAAAGCGAGCATTTCCATTATATTCGCTCTCTCTTCTCCGAACCGTATAAAAAACAGAAATTATACCTATATCGCGTATACCTGAACACAGGTAACTCTCTCTCACTCTCTCTTTTTCGCTCTCTCAAACCAAGCTGAGATCGCGAGAGCACTGGAAAAAAGTGTAGTCTTGTGGAAGGTATTATAATAGCCAAGGTTAAAAGTGGGCAAGGGTTTGAGCGTGAAAAATAACAGATGTGCTGTTATAATTCTTTTTTTTTAATGGGTGGAGCAAAGTTGTTTCGAAAGAGGGGATTTAAGTTGTGGAATTTCGTGGTCAAATCATACATTCTAAAAAACTCAAACGATTGGGGATTTTTTTTTCAGTTTACTATAATGTATACAAAACAACTTTAAACATTTTCTCAAAAATCACTTGAACCATGGTGACCTTAAAATTGGGGTTTAAAAATAAAATTGGGTATTAGGTTTACATTAAGAACTAACCCCAAACTGTATTGGTAAAATGTTTATGTCTGTGTTTTTAAGATCAGGTTAATAATAAACTATTTTTCAGGATATTATATTCTTTGTTTATAGAAAATACTACCCCAACTCCAATATATTTATTATAACCACATTTTCCCCAACTAGATATTACCAGAGACTTGCATATATTTTAACTGAAATTCGCAAGCTTTGTGTGCCCCTGATCTAAGCTTTTAGTATAGATTGTTCAGTAATAAAAAGCTTGCTCAGGTTAGCAAGACGACTAAGTCGAGCCGTTGGTTTTAAATGTGCTCGGTGGGCTTTTGTTTTAACTGGCCGCTCTTTCTTAGCCCTCGATTTCAAGACCCCCATGGAATTGCCTTTCAGTTGTCTTTGCATTTAGCAGTTAATTCAGTTATATCATAAGTAAAATTGTTAAATAATATTTGCCAACTGAGGCATTACAATGTTGGCTCAAAAGACCATAAACTGACGTCAGCTGGGAAATGGGCGTCTGTTTCTGCCGATGAGGATGACGACAAAAGGCCCGGTCAACGGACCAATGCACTTTGCGAAATATTGCGGAATAATAAATTGTCAATCATGCGCATTGAGTGGACCGTAAAGGAACTGTAAATATTTCGATAATAGCATTACCCAGAAATATCAAATAAAATCCCGCTTCCCACATAAAGCCATCATCTATACTTTAAAGTTCAATTTCAGTTGCCAAAAATCTTAGTGGTCATTGGGGTACATGGACCTGGAATTAGGACAAGTATAGAAATATAATCAGAAAGTCTCTTTTTTTCTTACTATTTGCCACAGTTGACGGTTTAGAAGGCATGGCCATGCCAATTATCGGTATTAAACAGAACATGGCTTCTATTGTGATCCAGTTTTAGTACGGGTTTTAAGACTCACTTCTTTCATTAAGTTTGTTGTCGGGTTCGGTTACTCTTTGGGGACCCAACTAGTCAGCAACAATACAGAAAGAAACATGAATGGATTTAAAAATAGAGCGTGAAAGTTTGGATACCCTTGCAAATACTACATAAATGGCAATTACAAATTTTAATTTTATAAGGATTTTTAAAACTTTTTAAAGTAATATCTCATAGCTTTATAGATTTATATTTATAATTATGAGTCTACTAAAAGAAGACTTACGAAATTTATGATAATCAGATTAAGATGGTTTCTGATTTTGATCACGCATCTTTTCGCCCCCGCTAATTGCGAAACTTACACACATATTTTATAGTTGAGATTTTTTGGAGGTATAAATTTGTACGAATTTGATACACCTATGTATAAACATATAAACTATATGTTCAACAGACCATTTTCAATGTTGTTTTATAAGGCGGTTTTTAACTTGATCTAAAAAAATGGTATTCATATAAGCATTATATTTCAAAATATAAATACCAAGTTTAAGAACTGTGGTATATGAGATATTCTTAAAGAAAGGTGTTATAAGCATATGGAAATATTTAGATCCCCAGTTTTCCTTCATAGACGCGGCAAACTTCCGCAGTACAACATATAGTAGTATATGGAACGCTTGAATCGACTCTCGAGCGAATTGTGTAAAACTCTGCGATTGCGCATATTGTATTTCGCGTCGGCAACAACGCCACCATGACAGACATCCAACCGACCAGCGAAAACAAACCGAACTACCGTCCGCCATTCGTCGAGCGGTAAATAAGGCTACTACAGTGGAAAAAATGGTAACATTTTGAAATAACCATGTTTTTAGGACTCCAATCCATTACAATTTTCCTTGTACTACATCATTCTAAATTAAATTAATTGACTTATTTGCTTTTAACATCCTAACACTACAAGTTTTGTTTGATAATGTATCATACAAATCATAAATGTATCTAGGCAAACACGCTTACATACATTTTCGCATGTAATTAAATTGTTACATAATTCGGAGTACTCTTATACAAATCTAAGATAAATTATTATATTAGTTTGATTAGCATTTGTTATTTAATATTTATTTATAATAAATATTTGTCTTAGTAACTTATCGAATTAAGATTTATATGTTCTTAAGTGGGACTAAAATAATCTAAAATTAAACATTGGTTGCTTTTTTTATATTTAATAATACCACACGTTTAAAACAAGTATTCCTTTTTTTGGTGTTAGTCCAGTAAACAGTGGAACGCTTTAGAATGTAATACAAATACCTATATAATATTTTTTTCTGGTTTAAAACAATTAAATAACTTTCGGTTCAGAACCGGTTAAGAGCTAATAACTGTAAAGGTTGCTTTCGGATCTGAGTGATAAGAAAAGTGTGGGAGAACTAACTGCATATTTTTGCTTGAAAAGAACTGAGGAAAAAAACTCTTAGCGTGTACGCTGTTTTTTGTTCTTTTTAACAATATTGGGAAAATATAAAAAATATTTTGAAATGGTTGTTTGTCAAGTGTAAAGGCGATCGGTCAGCCAAGCAGGCAACCGACCAATCAACCTTATGTTGGTGACGCTGAACAATGGGCTAAACAAGCATAGTTTTGGTTACAATTAATAATTGGTTACAATAATAATTAATTACACTCTACATTTACAAAAAAAAAAAAATTATTTAAATAAATTAGACCAACACAAACCAAAGATATTCTGGAAAACATCCAGTTTTTAAGTAAGACTTTTGAAAAATACTCTTTTTTTTTTAAGTTTTAATGAATCGTAAAAAATGTGTTAAAATACTACAGTTCAATATAAGATAAGTACAACATAGGTGATCCAAAATCCTTGATTAATTTATATTGTTGAATTAAAAAATTTAATTTATTATTACAATTTGTCAAAATACAAAAAGAGTTTATAATAGGATAGGTATATATATTTCTATAGATAATAGCTGATAAAAATCCATATATAGCAAAAGCTTAAAAGGGGTCACAACTTTGTAATAAAAGTTTCTTATAGCGGAATGGTTTATACCCAAAGCTATGTAGGATTACAATAAATAGTAGTCATGACTGCTCTTTTTGCCCCATAGTGCGGAGGCTCCGATGGTGAGTCGGCTCATGCGCTCGTCGCTGCACATGCGCAGTACAAAGCTTCGCGCAGTTCGGATGGGATCGGATCGCGTCGGCTCGGGATCGGCTCGGCCTGGCATGGTATACCACTGTTTGGAGTACGGTTCGTTGCGAACTTCTGTGGGACATTAAAACCAGTTATAAGTCAACTTTCATTCCAAGCAGACGTGCTGGGAGTACGGATCGGAAAGCGGCGGGTTTTTGTTTCGCCGTTGCAGTAGCAGCAGCGTTAACTCGTGCAAATGCAGCCAGGTCGCCTAAACGAGAAATAAGTTCACGTTCATAGGTAGCCATTAATTTTTCCCATTTTCTGTGCGAACTTAACTGAAACCAAGCCGCGCTCTTTTTCTGTTTTTCTGTTTTTTTTTGTATGTTTTTCCCTGTGTGGTTTCGCTGTTTTGTATATTTTTGTTTTAGTGACTTTTATTTTATGTGTGTGAACTGGTCAGAGATTGAGTGAGTTTGCTTGTCTTACAGCTCCCACCCAGAGCAGACAAAAACAAAAAAAAAAAAAAAAAAAAGTAGCTAAATCCGGTCATATTGAATCATGCTCATATATGAATGTTTAGCCGTTCACGATTCGTACGTACGTACATAATATATATATGCAAATAAAATCGGGAACGTTTCGGATCGTACAAGTCACTTTTTGATCGAGTGTTAGTGTGTGCCCCAATATTTCTAGTTCGCCGTGTACTTTCACACACGGCTCAAATTAGCACCACTGATATTGAATTAGAGTGCCCAAGCCAGGCCGCCAAATCACTGGCTCCAAAACTTTCCTAACTCTCCACCAGAGGCTATCAACACCGCCGCAAAAGCAATAGTAGCCGATAATTAGTGAAAGATATATACGCTCTCACGAAAGTTGTAGTTTTTAATTTTCAGTTTCCAGATTCAAGTTACAAAAACCCCGGGGCAAAGTGAAACCGTTCTGCTCAGGGTAGTATATAAACGCGGGTCTGGTATAAATAATCAACTTTAAATGATACAAGTCTGTAGTAGCAGCAGCAACCTTGAAAGCAACACCAAATCAATACTAGCCCTCGGGCGATTTCATTTCATTTTCAATCTATCCACACATATATAGTTATACATAGGTATTCATTCACCGTCTGCAGTCCGCTTATTCTTTCGAATATTCATGCCCATGTAGCTTACAGCCCCCAAAAAGGGAAGCCATTTAAAGTTTACTTTTACTTTTTCAATCGAAGCAATCGAATGGAACTGAATCGAATCGACTGGTGGTCAGTTAGCTATCTATATGTATATACACACAGATGTATATAAAATATAAAGAGTTATGGTATGGGATCTTAGGAAAGCGGTTGGCATCGGTTGAATTGGACAGGTGAGGGAGGAGTCAAAGTCAATGGCCGACAACCTGTGATTTTCACGATTATTCATGATTACAATGTATTATC